TCTTTCTTTCTTTCTTTTTCTTTCTTTCTTTCTTTCTTTCTTTCTTTCTTTTTCTTTCTTTCTTTGTCTTTCTTTCTTTCTTTCTTTCCAGTTGTGGTTATTTTAGCACATAAAGTTAAACTACTTGAAAATTAAAAATGTTTTTTTGCCAACTAGCTCAAATAAATTATTTTCATTTAAATTTTAGTTAACATTTTAGTAATTTTGTTGCGTGTTTTTGTCTTTTTTGTGTCGATATAGCTTTTTATTTTTTTTTATTTTCTATTTTTCTTCAGTTAATGTTTATTTTATTTCGAGCAATGTTTTTTCATTTAACCATATTAACCCTGATTCTGACTCCTGCATCTAAAATCCGCTCAAGTGGCTGTGGTTCTGTTTGGCTGATTATTTATCACTCTTTCAAGGGGTTTGTGAGCCCTGTTAGACTAAATAACTCAAGTGGCTTGTCCAAACATCTCCCGTTACAGAGAATAATCATTCTTTGGAGAGATGTAAGACAACGTTTGAGACTAACCCATTTGCTTCGACGTCTCAACGCGACTCAAAATTGGCCAAATGTGAACCGAACTGATGGCGAAGGGGAGAAGCAGCACTTCATTTATTTCTAATGATTGTCTTTTAACTGCTTTTTAATCTCTACCGGACACGTAATAATTTCGGGAAGTGCTTGAATCGCTGTGCTAAATTGGATCAAAAGCGTCGGCGTAATTGCGCTGATCTCCAGAGCTCTGGTAATTCTCCCGTCTGAAATGAAACTTGGAATCGGATCATTGTTCCGCCGTCCTCAAAGGTTTTCGCTAATGGATTCATTATTGAAAATTAGCAGTTCTTTTGCTGCAGATTCGTACCATGATAATGTGATAATCCGCTTTGTTTCCAGGGATTTTCTTCAACTGTAACAAAACACCTTTGTCTTGTCTCTCTATGCAGAAGAACACACGATAGATGCTTTAGTTTATGTAATGTAGTCGCATATAAGACTTTTGGATCAAGTATTTCTTCATGTGGTATTTCGTAAAGAATGCAAACGTAAATACGTGAGGAATATTTTCTGCTGGGCCTTTGAGATAATTTAT